CTTCATATCAGAGGGTGGCGTCTCATCATGGGTTGCGTCTCATCAGGGCTACACGCTGCTTAGCGTGAGCTTCACTACAGGAGCGATTTCTAACACGCCCCCTCCGAAGGCAACTCCTTCGGAACTTGGTCCTTTGTCGAACCGATCATCTCGTTCAGCATCTCAAAGCGATCGCTAGCGAGAGCCTTCGTCATCAAATCCGCCGGGTTATCGTCGGTCTTCACCTTCCAGAGCTCAACCGTTTTCTTGGCTACTTGATCTCGAACGAAGTGCCATCTCAGCTCGATATGACGTGTACGTCGACTATACGTCGGGTTCGTCGCCATTACAAAGGCGGCTTGGTTGTCGATGCCTTGGCGGAGCTGAACCACCATCTCAGGAAACACTTCGATCAACACATTTCGCAGACCTTGTCCTTCCATGCATGCTTCGCATGCTGCAACATATTCGGCCTCAGCTGTAGACTGAGCCACTATAGTTTGGCGCCTTGACGCCCACGAAACTGCGCCTCCAGACATACAGTGTACGTAGCCTGTAACACTCTTCCTGGTGTCGGGGTCGTTACCCCAATCAGAATCACAGAAGCTGTCGATGAGCAGCATGTTGCGCTGTTGCTCTGGTACGTTGCTCCTTGTGTAAACAATACCTTGGCACTTCGTACCCACAAGGTACCGCAACACTCGTTTGGCCGCACCAATGTGCTGCTGCGTAGGTCTCTGAACATACCTACTGAGTTGCCCCACTGCAAAAGCAAGGTCGGGTCTCGTGCATGTAGCTAAGTACATCAACGAGCCTACCAGCTCTCTGTACGGAAATGTTTTGCCGTTCATTGGCTCCTGTTTGCGAACAGCAGTATCTGTGTCGTTCACGGTAAGTCGTAGGTTGGTCTCCATAGGAATCCGACTTGGATGCGCTTCACTAAAACCAAAACGCTCCAAAACCTGCTCACAGTACCGCGTTTGGTGGATCTTCATTGTCCCCTCACCGTGCTCAACCTCAATGCCGAGGTACGTACTCAATAGTCCTTGGTCTTTGATACCGTAGTCCGCATTCAACTGGCTGAACAACTTCTTCTTGAACTCCTCGCTCTTTGTTGCACACAGTATGTCGTCTACATAGAGCAGGACCATGGCAAACTCGCCATCTCGGTTATAGAAGTACAAGCAAGGTTCGGTGCTGCACTGCTTGAACCCGTAACGAAGAAACCA